TTGTTGAAAATGTTCCTTTACCCCCCCCAAAATTTGTTATCCCCCCGAAAAATTCTTCACCCCCCCCCCCCCAATATTCGGCGCTTCGCGCGGGCACTAGTTGTTTGTGTTCGCGCTGCTCCTGCTGCCCACTGAGTGTATGTCCTTTTTATTTTCTTTCAGCAAAAAAAAAAAAAAAAAAAAAAATCTTTTTCTTGTGAACTTTAAGAACAAAACAGAAAAAATATGGAAGATGGTAAAGTCAAGAAAAAAAATAATAAGCGTTTTATTTCTTTTATTTTTCTTTTTTTCTTGTTCTCTTTTTTTTCTTCTGGCTTTTCTTATTATTTTTTTTTTTGCTTGATCTAAAATTGATGTCGCATGTCTGATATAAACATATATGTACATATATAAATCTATTCTCCATTGATTTTATCTCCATCACATTTTTTAAAACGGTGGCTAAGAGAAAAAGAAATAGAAAAAAGATAAAAACTTTTGTAAATTCAAAAAAAAAAGAGAATGCATTCCATCTTATATTGTTTAGCAAGTAAGTGGTACAACCACAATGGTGCTATACCAAAAAGAAAAAAACCATATTGGAGAATTGATTTACTTAATTTAACTCTATTTTGTCTTGTCCATTGTCTTATATATGTATGTATAAATTTATACCTATATATACAGATATTTTTTTTCTTTTCACTCCATGTAAAATAAAACACATTAATTGTATTTATCATCCTATATACTTCTTGGTTTCTACAATGTAAATAGAGAGAATCTCATTCTAACACAAACGTTTATCTTTTGTTCATTATTCTTTACTTTTTATTTTATTGTTATATTTATCTCTAGAAGTTTCTTCTCTTGTTCATTCATTTTTTTTTCATTTATCTCGGATTGCTCCTAAATCTTCTTGTGTAGATAGATATAGAAAGGTAAAGAAACAAAAATAAACAAAATGTATATGTAGAAAGAAAGAAAATAATTAAATCCTTGCTTTTATTATATCTATATATGACCTTGATCAATATAAAAATCGACAAAAGAATGATATAATAAAACAAGAAAAGAAAAAAAAATATATAAAATCATAACCAAGATAAGGAAGAACCGACATAACGATTCCTTTGAGTTCGTTTATATGGTTTTTTAAATCATCAGCATCAGCATCTGGATGTAATTCAAGCCATTTTATTTTCTCTTCAATGGCTGTTTCAATTTTTGTTTTGTCATCAGTTGAAAGTTTTTCACCAAGTTTTTCATTATCAATTAATTCAATTTTCAATGAATAAATATATCTATAAAATAAATCAATTCATTAATTTTCTTACTCAAGAAAATAAGCAAAAAAAAAACTTACAATTCAAGTTCATTTTTTACATCAACAGGTTCTTTTAGTTTTTTATCTTTATCAGCAAGTTTTTTAGAATCTTTTGTCATAAAATTGATTTCTTCTGATGATAATCTATTTCTATTTGAATTGATGATTATATTATTTGAATTTGTTGTTCTTTTATCTTCAGCAGTCATCTAAATAAAGCATAATTTAAATAAAAGAATTTAAAATGATGATTATAAACTTACATTAAGTATACCATTAACATCAATTAAGAAGGTGACTTCAATTTGTGGAATACCTTGTGGTGCAGGTGGAATACCATTTAATTCAAATTTACCCAAAACATGATTATCTCTTATGTTTTGATTTTCACCTTCAAATATTTGAAATGGAATTGTTTGTTGATTATCATTACTTGTTGAAAAAACTTGAATTTTCTTTGTTGGTATAATTCTATTACATTGAATAATTTCTGTAACTTCACCATTTACAGTTTGAATATCCATGCGTAATGGATTAATATCGAATAAAATAATTGCAGGAGCATTTTTTGCACCAGATAGAAATCCAGCTTGAAGAGCAGCACCATATACTAAAGAAAAAAAAATTAGTTTCTTATATTTTAAATGCAATCAATTAATTTACCAGCAGCTGTATCTACATTAATACCATCTAATGGTTCTTTACCATAAAAACGTTGTTTAATTAATTGTTGAATCTTTGGAATACGAGTTGAACCACCAATAAAAACAATTTCGTCGGCCGTAAGTCTTTTAGCATCGTCAAGTAGTTTTTCTACTAATTGCATTATTAAACGAAATAAATCCAAATTTAATTCTTCAAATTTAGCTCTTGTTAATTTTTCACTAAAATTTTCATTATCAAAAAATGATTCAATTTCAATTTTAGCTTCATATTCTGATGATAATATTCGTTTAATTTTTTCAACTTCAAATCGAAGTGTTTGAATAGCTTGATTATCATTTCGAATATCTTTACCAGTTTTATTTTTAAATAATTTAATTAAATATTTCATAACACGATGATTAAAATCTTTACCACCTAAATTTGTATTTCCAATCGTGGCAATAACTTGAAAAATATCATTTTGACGTTTAATTAATGATATATCAAATGTTCCACCACCTAAATGAAAAACTAAAATGTTTCCTTCTTTTTTTGTCATATTTAATGTTGGAAGACAAGCAGCAGCTGCTGTTGTTTCATTAATAATACGTATAATATTTAAACCAGCAATAGTTCCAGCATAAATTGTTGCTTGACGTTGTGCATTATTAAAATAAGCTGGAACAGTAGAGAGCTGCATTTCCATGGTAACCGGGTCCGGGTCTAGACCCGGTGGTTTTTTCATGGGGGGTGAAAATTTGAAAAATGATCACGTAATATTTGGATCAACTATCTGAAATGGCGGGAATGGGGTGAATGTGTCAAATATTNAAACACCGGGTCCGATTTGCAGCTCTCTATGGAACAGTAACAACAGCATGAGTAACTTGTTGTTTAAGATAAACTTCCTATTAAAAATAGATATTACTTTATTATAAAGAAACAAAGATAAAGATTTGACTTACAGCATTTTCACGCAATTTTTTAAGAATCATAGCTAAGATTTCTTCTGGTGAAAAAATTTTTTGTTCATTTTTACTAATATTGATTTGAATCATTTGCTTTGAATTCTTCTCAATAACTTTAAATGGATAATGTTTGATATTTTGT